TTCATTATACCAATCGAATAGAAAACATATCCTTAGGATATCATTTCTCCATTCCATATATTCATAGAATTTGGCCTCAGAACCTCACTTGGCTCATCCCAACTGAATTCTAGAGGCAGATGCTTTTCAACTAGCACAGATCTGGCTACCAGCACCGTTCAACACACGTTTTTATTTGAATGTGAAAAAATTCTCCAGCCAAATGTACTTGAAATTCATACAAAGGCCTCATAGTCACCAAAGTTCCACTACATAAGTTAACTTAAGTAATACTCTTTCCATTGCCAGATTTTAAAATTCACACCTCCTAAGACTTAGGAGGGAGTTGTCATGTCTCTTGTATTAAAACTGTAAGACATTAATATATAATTTAACCAAGAATTTGACTGTTCTTGAGTAGTTCCAGTAATATCAGCAGTGACATTTTTTGCATAAATCTTCTCTACATTTTAACGCTCAGGAGAAGTTGGAGGAGTTATTATGTATAATACACCTTGTTTTGTATGTTTGAGCAGTCAAAGGATGAATCTGATTCATACCCTGGAGGCATTCATCTATTAAAATGCCAACGTAATGGATCTGAAAGCTTTGGCAGTGAGAAGAATAGGAAAATTTTCCTTTTTTTTTGAGCATGTAAGATTGTCCTTTCCTGAATATGATGGATCATCCAGAACAGAAATTGGGAATTGATACCTAAGATTTGGCTTTGTTACAGTTAAGTGAAATTTATCATGCTCTGCAGCAGGAGAAATTATTGTATTTTTTCTTGCAGTGCATTTAAGGCACCTGATAATTTAAGAAAGAAAATACGAATTCTCCTGGAACACGGAGACAAAAAGCTTCCCCTGTAGGCAACCGATTACTGTGGTTTTCTCCAAGTTAAAAGAAGGCTTAAATATTGATGGTATTGAATTTATGGACTTCTGTAGAGAAAAAAAAATATGCTCCTATAATCTTTAGACAGCTTTTCATATAGTTTACATTTAATTTTTGTCTGTAACAAATTCATTTTTTCTCTGTTTTATGTGAACTTGGAGCATCAGTCTGGCTGATAAGTGAAGATGGCACTGATCTATCACATTTCTGTAATGGCAAGTGGACCATTCTTACTACAGACAGAGATGCCTTCCATTTCAGAGGAAAAAAAAAAGCGTAGGTAATACGCATCTCCAACTCTCGGAGGGATATTTTGCTGTGAATAACAACTTCACACAGAGCTGTACGTGGATAAATACAGGAAGTTTTCAAATATTCATTCCTTGAAAATGAATGAAAGCTGCCCAGCATTTTCTCCTTAACACTCTCCTTCCTTTTCACTCTTCTTCCACTGCATGTCCTTAATTTTTCAATTCTATTATGTAGGTCGTCTGTAGACCACAGTCCTTTCGGGCACACACGTGCCCTGCCATGGAGAATTTCTCTTGCTCTGACCCTTATTATCCTCCCTTTCAGTTTTCCTGCTCCAGATACAACTTATGTCTAAGGAGCAGACTTCATAATGCTCCTCGCAACCTGTGTCAGTGCTCAGTCACCCAGATTTTCACCACCCATCGATGACTTTTCCATCCCAAAGATGGGCATGGCTATTTAGAATTCAGAAAGAATGCTAAAAGCAATCTGGGAAATAAAGCATGGAGATATAGAAAGAATTTAGAGAAGCCACAGTTGACAATCAACATCCTAGCACAGATCTTGATCTGAAAAGAATATAATAGTCTAATAAAACCCCTCCCTTGTCACATTTCAGTATTCAAGTTCTTCAGACCTCAAACACAGTGGCCCAAAGTTGATGTCATTCTTTCTGAAACACGTAGCGATGGAGGTGATAATTATAATGGAAAAATGAAATTTCATTTAACTTGTAGTAGCAACAGTAGAGATTGAGGGCCAGGGAGAAGCAGTGGGTACATAGTGATAGATCCAACCTTGGCATTGGCTCAGCCAACATATCTGAGTACTTCCCAGGAAGACTTTGGTTACATGGCGAGGTGACCCAAGCAGTTGCTCTTCTTCAACAGGAACCAATGAAAACATTTGGTAAAAACGTCCATATAATAAGAACAGCGAGGCCACAAATCCACAAAAAGTAATTGCTAAGAGATGTCGATCTATGAAAACTGACAATTCCCATAACTGATCATCCCCTCCTCGTTTATCCTCAGTCCTGTAATTTTTTTGCTCTAAAATGCCTGCAGTTATCTGTTCTGCCCCACTGATACACAGACTGCCACTAAAGTAGCAGATATTCAGTCAGAGCATGTGAGATGTCACTGCTTTCATGTTTCAGAAGTACTGTGTAATTCAAGGAGTTGAGAGAATGTGATTTTACAAAGGACTACTTAAGAAAATTCATGATTATTTAAAACTCAACTTTAATGCATTGTTCTATTTTCTTTTTACCCTTCAGATAACTTCAATCTTTATACTGTAATATAATTTGGTGCTGGGGAATGGAATGAGTAAAGATACAAGTTATTTAGTCATTCAGATCTGCTAAATGAGAAATAATGGCTTCAAACAAGGAAGGGACATTATTAACTGCTCATAACATATGCTCTTACAGATTATTATCATTCCAGCAACCTTTCCATTAATTCCTTTTCCTGACTATCTGGACCGAAAGCGATGTCTGATTTTTACCAAATTCATCAAAGTGCTCCTGGAGTCATCATTTCTCATTTACAGTGCGAGTGCTCCGTTCAGCCAGCACATCTGTCATGGCTGACACCAGGCGATGAAATCTTACGGCTCTCCATAAGGCGTCTAAAAGCAAGGAGAACGGCGCACCGCGTGATGCTCGAGGAGCTACAAGTCTATAAAAGAGCATTAACTCTTGTGCTGTCACTCTCACAGAGGCAGTGCAGACCTCAGCAGTGTTGCATTGCCTGTGGGCTCACGTGTTTGCAGTGATACCTGGGATGTGTGTGACAGGACGGACATCACGGAGTCTGGATCATCTCCAGACCTCTTCCAGAGCTTGGAGAGGTCTTGGGCATGATGAGCCCTGCTGATCTCACATGGGGAATATTTAGGGAATGGAGGAGATGATCAAGGACACACACACAGCATAAAATCCTGGAGGTGCAATAAAAGTGATGCAGGGCAATCTGACCTTACAGCAGTAGTAAGGGAATGAAAGCAGATAACCAATAAATGAAGCCAAATGGAGCAAGGAGGAAGCGATGTCCAGTAGGCAAAGTTAGCATTTCTTAAAAATCAAACATAAGGCTTTTGCTAGAGGTAGACCAGTGCCTAACGCAGACATATCCTGCAGGTATCTCTTTGCTGTTGTAGGTGGAATTAGAGTTTTATCTTTGGCAGCAAGACAGATGTGATCTGCTAGAATCAAACACCTCAGCTGAAAGGCTGTGAGTATCCCCAAGGCTTGCAAAGCGCTGCTGTACTTCGTTGGCAACTTGGGTTAATACACCACAGTTAACTGTTTTCTTCTGTTGTCCTTAGACACGAAAAGCAGGAGAGATAAGCCAAAGGAAAAGAGTGCAGACAGTATGGTTAATAATGTGGAAGTCGTTTTCTGAGACTCGCAATAACAAAGAATTTAGGCATATTTAGACAAAGCAGCCTAGTTTCACGAGTGGCAGCTTTGGTTGCATTTTGTCTGCGTGTGTTAGTGAAAACCAGTGCATGAACACAGCAGTAGTGGGTGGTTCAAAGGAGACCATACCCTGCTTTGGTGCCTGCATGAACCATTTCTGTCGTGGAGCCACGAATACCCTTTCTTTTCCCTCACAAAAAGCAAAAAATAAAGAAAAAGAAAAATCGCCAGTACTTAGAAAACCCCCTCAGAATGCAGGGAATGCGTTTAACAAATGCTATACCAAATAGGTGTCTGAGAAAGTTCTTAAGAGAGTTGAAGAGGAGCTTTTAGTGATGTGATGGCACTGAGATTTTCTTCAGGGAGCACAAAAAAACCAAAGGCACATGCCCACCAATCTCCTCAGCTTCTGTATATTAAATCCATGCAGCAATGCTCAATAAACAGATTGGTCAGCAGAGGGTTAATGCTTTCAAAGTCCTTATTACAAGCTAACGCTCACATGCTTCAGACATTCCAGCATCCTTCCTTGTCTATTTCTAATTTCCTAATAAAACTGCTGACGTGAAAAGCTGATTTTGGAACAACTTTCAGTGGGGCTCAGCAAAATTGTTTTAATGACTAGCTTCTGCTTGCATGTGTGCTGGAGTGAGTGCATGAGGCTGGAGACATGCAAGCACATGGATCAGCAGGATTTGCACAGCACATCACTAAAACAGGAATTAGTGGGATTTAAATATATATGCACCTTTTAAAACTTTTTTTTTTTTTTTTATCTCAAAAGGACAAAAAATATCCTGATAATCCAGTAAGAAGGTGGCTTCAATAGAGGTGCTTAAAAGGAATTCTGAGATCCCCAACTACAAGAAATGTGTTATTTCATTTATACATTGTGAGCTTCCTCATTTTTTTCTTAGCCCTCCTAAGGCTGGGCTCCAAAGCTGTTGTCATTCCTTGTCACTTCTCCTTACCTATATTAGAATTTGAACAAACAAACAGCTGGCATATAGAAAACAGATGGAAAATTCTTGCTGTTTCATGTTGCTGCCTGAAGGCACCCAAATTTCTCCATCCAGCACATCAATGACCAGAGCACCCCATAAATAAAGGACAAAGCAGAAACGAGAGGAGAAGAAGCATTGATAAAAGGCAGAATCCAAGTCCCTTTTAGCGTCTCAATTCATCACACGTCAACAGGTAGTAGAAGAGGGCAGGAAGAGAGTCCTATTATAGAATCACAGAGACATAGAATGGCTTGGGTTGGAAGGGACCTCAAGGATCATCAAGTTCCAACCCCCTGCCACAGGCAAGGCTGCCAACCACCAGATCAAGTGATAGATCAGCTTGCACAGGGCCACCCCCAGCTTGGCCTTAGACACCTCCAGGGATGGGTGTATGTTAATGTGTTATTAAGAGAGCAAAAGAGATAAAGCTCCTATCCTGCCCTGGGCCACAGCTAACATTTGTCCTTGTTTCTGTGGCTTGTTGTTTCAGGGACACTGCAGCAGCCCCAGTCATGCACCAGCACATGGCAAGATGAGGTTGGCAGCGAGGTCAGCCATGCTGTCAAGGCTGCTCAGCCTCTGTGCAGATGGCCAGGAGCAACAGGTTTGTGCTCAATCTCACTATCCTTCACTGCAGCAAGACTCCTCCAGCACCTGATTTCATCTGCTTGATCAGCACCACAGCATCTGCTCCCACTAACTGACTGAGGTGGGGCTGTATGGGTACAACTGCCAATAACTTCTTGTGTTTGACCCCCAAGTTTTATTTCCATTAGGTTGCACTTGCTCTCTACATGGTGCCATCTTTGCCTGGTAAAACTAAAGAGCAGTAAATTGCACTTTAAAGAACTATTGAATAGACTTAAAAACAAACAAACAAACCAAAAAACCCAACTGCACAATTTCATTAAGGAGATGGAAATGATGTAGCGTACTGAAGCCTATACAAAAAGCAAAAAAATAAGGTGTAGAAATCTTTGTGTCAATCAAACACTGACAGCTTATGTATTTCCATGAAAATACAAGCATAATTCAGCCAGAAAAAGTAAATGGTCGCAATATTCTCACTTTGTGTTTTAAATACCTCATGCAATCAGGAATCAACCTCACAGATTGATTTAGCTAGCTGATTACATATAAAATATGCTTTAAAAAATTCCAATTCTACTGTGTCTTTCACCTCTGATTCCAACAGCTGTCTATTTTCCTTCAAAAGAAAAAACGTTTTACAAACAACTAGGAAGACCAAATTATCATTTTAAGAAGCAGAACAACAACAAAACCATAACGTTTCTCTCTTTCAGGATGGAAAGCATCACGCACTCAAACTTCACACTCTTTTTACACTACACTACAAGATGGGAACTGAGGTCACAGAAATTGCAGGTTGTCTCACCTCAGTGCAAGGGAATGAAAAAGCAATAATCACACAATGGACAAAATCAAAAGGTATGAAGAACAAGAGGAGATCCTATGGGTAGACAAACATCAAAGCCAAGCATAAAACACTATGTTGAGTATGTAAGTAGTTAAGAAACAGCAAACTGGTCCTTAGCTGCTGAAATGTGAAAATGCACATTTAATAACACAGGACATATTGAGATGTATAATGCTTTTTTCCTAGTTCAACCTAATAAAAATTCCCATAAAACTACTGGCACATATCCTGAAACAAGGCATTGATCGAGAATTCAGAGATGGCAAGGATGTCATCGGGACACAGGGTGGAACTGTCAGATCATGCCATGCAGAGACCATCTGTCTCTGTGACACTGTAGTGTGCTCTGTGCATGGGTGAGAGGCACCGATGCCTTCTACTGCGATTGAGCAAGGCTCCAAACCATGACTTTCATGATAGCTTTAAAGCAAGATGGAGGAAGATGGCATGGGGAGAATACTGTACAACAAGTGGAGGAAAAAAACCTGGCAAAACATACATTGGTTATCAGAGGGTGACACGTCAAACGTGACAAAATAGATTCCACCGTGATTTTATCTGGGGGCAGAGAAGAAAACACAAGCATCAACACCACTTCAGTTTATCTGTGGAGCATTCACTTCTACTGTAAAAACGGTTCCTACCAGTGGCCCTTTTCACATTCCAGGAGGTCACCAACCAGCAGCCCAGGCTGCCCAGAGCCACATCCAGCCTGGCCTTGAATGCCTGCAGGGATGGGGCATCCACAGCCTCCTTGGGCAACCTGTGCCAGTGCCTCACCACCCTCTGGCTGAAAAACCTCCTCCTAAAATAGGTGGGGATGGAATTGTGCCTGATGACTCTTCTTTTAACAAGAAAAAAAGGTAAAAATATGATTATTCCAGAATAGGTTGATCTTGTCACCCTTTCCAGATCCTGTTAATATAGATACATAATAGATGTGATCAATTCCAGCTTTGACCAAAAGGAAAGTAGCTGCAAATGCTGGCCAAAGGAGTAGCTTTGGTTTTATTTTAAGAAGCTGAATGCTTCCAGACACCAGCAGAAATTGTTAAACTACTTGTCTCATCAACATCACCAGGAATGAAAGGAAACAACAGCGAATTATGACTATCACCTAAGGTATTCACAAATAGCAGAAAATGAATAAAACAATCTCGTGGCTTGCAATGCCCCTGCACTCCATATGCATCAGAAACGTGTCTGACTAAAGCAGGAATAACTAAAGTGCCACCAATTTAAGAATGAAGGGAAAAAAAGAATTCTCCTGAATGATCTTCAATTTTCTGGTTATTTTTAGGGCATGTCATGGGACAATGAAAATACCAGAATATTTGGTCCAAATGCTTACTTTTCAAATTCGAGGGGAGAGGAAAAGAGAGGAGAAAAGTAAAACAGAAAAAGTATTTCTGGGAGGGGATCAAAGTTGGTTTGATTTTGTAGAACTGAAATAGACCAATTCATTCATTTTATATTTCTATAAACAGGAACAAACCCTCAATCTATATTTTTAGGAAAATCATTATAGCAGTCAGTGTGGAATATTTATGGAATTGGTTTCTGAACAACTGATAATGCTGGCAACCATTCTAGTAGTGCTTTAAGTAAAATGTGCATTCAAATAATGCAAGCAAAAAAGATCAAAAAGGTGATCATTTCCTTGCTATATTACAAAAGGCAGCATTTTACTCTTTTTATTGCAGAAGCACTTGCAAATTACTGAGTATGAAACAGTTGTACGAAGCTTTTTACAAGCACACACTGCAACATAATACGATATCACATGAATTTAATGGATGTTTATTAAAAACAGCACCAGCACTTAGTTCTTCTTATCCTTAGCTGAATGGTTTTTTCTCATAGATTATGCCATCTCTTAGAAAAGCTACAAAAAAAATGCATGGTGACAATTCTTTGAAGACACCTGCATGTTTGTTCACAAAAAGCCTTAAATGTGCAACTTGATAGAAAAAGAAAAAAGAAAAATGATTTCATATTCCTAAAGTTTTCTATCTAGATAACAGGGGATGGCTTCCCTTTATAACAGCATTTGGAAAAAAAAATGACTATTATCGTCAGGTTACGCTGTGCTCCCAAGCACTGTGCATCAGTGATAAGAAGCTGCTTCAGTTTTACCAACACACAGCAGTTTGCTACCTTGGACAATCACTGGAACTACTTTATTCACGCCCTAATTAAGCCCTATTTTTGAAAAGAATTATTGATATTGTAAACAATCATCAAAAAACTTTAAACACAGTCACTACCATTAGCTATGCACAGTTGCCAGCAATGAACAAGAGCCTGTATGCTGTCCTTGTCAGAATCTGCCCAAGTAGAGAATTATGGTGAAATTTTACTCTTCCTGTGCTTCACCCTTCAAAACAGTTCTTGTACATAATGCCAAAGAGTGGTGAAATGAGTCTCTCTGGTAAGAGAGGGCTTATGAAAGCCTAGTAGAGAGGCGTGATCAGACTTCATAGAGTCATTAAGATTAGAAAAGATCTCTAAGATCATCTAGTCCAATGGTTCACCTACCACCAATACCACCCACTGACCACGTACCTCAGTGCCACATTTCCATGGTTCTTGAGCACATCAGAGGACAGTGACTCCACCACTCCCTGGGCAGCCTATGCCAAAACCTCACCACTGTTTCAGAGAATAAATTTTTCCTAACATCCAACCTTCAGAGTTGAATGTCTGATTGCAGCTCTATACATTCAATTTGGAAATTTACAGCTAATGTATTTAGGTTGACTGAGTGCACTGCTGGTTGGTTGGTGCTGAGGGCTGTGGCAGACTGCTGGCTCCTGCAATGGTGTGGGGCAGGGGATGCCCATAGGGTGAGCTGAGCTGGGCCAACCTGCAGGTTGGACATGCCTGCCTCACCTCACAGGGCGAGGTGAAAGAACTTGGTCAAAACCTTGCACTTACTTCAAAAAAATATCAATGCAAATCAAAACAAAATCTGTTGTCTGATCACTGCTGGAAGAAGATAATGTGCAGAGCCAAGAGCACCAAGCATCAAATGGCTTGGGTTGAAAGACACCTTAAAGATTATCCAGTTCTAACCCCATGCTGCAGGCTGGGAAGTCCCCCATCAGCTCTAGCTGCCCTGGCCTTGGGTACCTCCAGCAGTGGGGCACCCAAAGCTCTGGGCATCCTGTGCCAAGTGGTGAGGCACGTTCATATTTAAGTCTACTCAGACTTAAGTCTACAGACCCTTATTCTTGTGACATTGCCAAACGGTTTTATAGCATCCACAGCATCCTCAGAACTGTGTAATGTGTGAAGAAATTCTGCTTCTCATTTGTCTTGAGCAGAGCATCTGCTGGTTTCACAGAGCTTTTCACAGTGAGTTTGGTCCAAGCTAGTAAAGAAGCACTCCACAGCACATATTCCTGATGCAGCATTGCCCTGAGAGATGCTGTGCCAATGCATCCATGCCTCCTGCCTGTGCCGTCTTCAGGTTCCTTCTAAACACAGATTTCCCCTTCACCTTTTGGCAGGAGCCATTCTAGCTGACGTTTCCCTACTTCACCTCCACCCCTCTGCATGATTCCCCAGCAGAACAATGTTTGCAGCTTTTCATGTCATTGCTGGCTTTGTCTGTTGTCACCCTGGTGGGCAGGGAAGTGACTGAACCTGCAAGCCCCAGCCCTCCCTGACATGCCTGGGCACAAAGAAAACAGGAGCTTTAAACAAATCAAATCCAGCGCCCTGCTGTCATCAGACAAGGGGACACAGGGTTCATCCATTCTCATCACTGCATTCGTGACACACAGGTAGCTCTCCTCTATTTTCTTTCAATCCCTTAGAAATGGAATACAAAGCAAAACACAGACTCTCCACTGCGTGTACTATTCTGTTATAAATCAGACGGAGAAAAGTCTTTCCCTCCAGCTATGCAAGCTGCAAGGATGTCTAGAACAGAGGGAGGATGATTTTTATCACTTCTATCTTTTGCATCAGGTGGCTACACTGCATACCTGTGGCCTCGATCCTCCATGGGAACCAGAGCTTGGCCTGCTTTGGATGGACAGTCTCCTCATTGAGTGCTTGTCCAGCTTACGTGAACCCTCTCTACTTAAAGGAAGATAAATATTTCCAAGAGGAAAAATAAATGGCCCAACACGTATTCCAAATGACAACAAAAAAATCCACAAAAAGAAGATTTTGTGTATGCATGTTTTGATCACTGCAGATTTTTCATTTACTGCAGATCGAACCAACATCTCCAAATGCAGCTGCGGGCTATTTATTGGCTGAAGACAGTTGTTTCATAGCACATTTTCAGTTTCAGAAATTTGGAATTTTCTGGTTGAAAGTACCAGGCTGAATAACAATGGGTTTTCTGCAATCTCAGCAGGCATTACGAGGATTTGGGATCTCCAGATCACGTTGGTAGCTATCCAGGCCTATAATCTACTCATGCTGCTGCTAAAACTGAAAAACCAGAGCTTTCAGCAAACTGTGTTCCCTTTCTCTAAGAAACTGGGAAGGAACCTTCAGTGTGAATGAAAAAAAAAAAGCCTCCAAAAAACCCCAAAGATCACAAGATCTACCTCTGAGAGTTTCTGAGCTGTTTTCTGTCCTTCTACATACGGCTGTATGAGTAAACCTGGCTTTGGAACTTAAATGAATCTTTAGACATTTCTTTTCAAAGTTTGCACTTCTCCAAATTCGGTTTTAAATGATTCAGTCTTAAAATAACCATGAAAACTAAGACTATCAACATTTAAGTGGTTCTCCTTGGAATAGCCAGGAGCTCTCCTCTGCAGAGTTGCTATAAAAAGCTGCTAGAATTGTAAGAGCAACATAAAGCCAAGGTTCCTGGATGTTAAGTTTTGCAATATTTTCTCTAATAAAATATTGAAGGAAAAGATCTAAGTTGTTGAAAAGAGTTTCTATCAGATTTTAATGGAAATAGATACTTGAGTTTAACATCATCAGTTCTTTACAGCACCTGTTCCTATGTGATAGGAAAACACATGATTGCTGCATCTGGCTGGGTCAAAACCAGATATGTGGACAGACTGGGAGGACTCCCTGAGAGCAGCCCTATGGAAGGATGGGGGTCCTGGTGGACCAAAGGTGCTCTGCTTTCATGAGACCCCACCTGCAGTGCCATATCCAGGCCTGGGCCCCAGCACAGAGAGAATCACAGAATGGCCAGGGTTGGAAGGGACCTCAAGGATCATGAATCTCCAACTCCCCTGCCACATGCGGAGGGACATGAGGCTGTTGGAGTGATTCCAGAGGTGGGCATGAGGGTGCTCAGAGGTTGGAGCACCTCTCCTATGGACACAGGCTGAGAGCTGGGGGTGTTCAGCCTGGAGAGGAGAGAAGCTCCAGGGAGACTTCACCATGGTGTTCAGTACTTAAGGGGAGATGATAGAAGGAGAGTGACCTTTCACACAAGCAGACAGAGATAGGACAATGGGGAATGGCTTTAAACTAAAAGAAACAAAATTTAGGTTAGACATGATGAAGAAATTATTTCCTGAGGCCCTGGCACTGCTGCCCAGGTGCCCCATCCCTGGCAGCTCAATGCATTTGTAGCAGGCAAAGCCTAAAAGTCTCAGCCCTACAACAGATGTGTGACCAGAAGAATTATTTTCAGCTTTTCACCAAAATAACATAATTCTGCCTGGCTTTGCTTTTTCTATCTACGCATCTTCGAAATTGATCATCATCACTATGGGCAGGTTGTTGCATTACAGGTAACAGAAGCACAAAGAAACTAGAAACAGAGTGCAAGGGCTTGCTTATCACCCATCAGGCACCAACCAACTGTGCTATGTACCATCATACTTCCCTACGAGAGGTTCCACTATATTTATGGACTATGCACTTATTGCCCATTGAAAAATATCTTTCTCCATTGGTTATCTAACACTGTGGATAACAGCACCATCACAGAAATTCAGGACAGCAGATGATGGACTCCACGCTATTGAGAAGACAATGCCATCCTCATGCCTCCCTGAGTTATGTATACACTTACCAGGTCATATATATTTACGTGGATATGCTCAGATGTGGAAGCCTGCACATAAATTCAGCTGCTACAGTCATCATCTGCACAGTGGTGGTAATTATTCAAAAGGCACGTAGGCCTGGAGCACTCAGGTATGCTTTGTGCTGCACTTCCTTCGCATGTAAAAGACACTCTTGCTTTTCAGTCTGGTGGCACCATATAAATCACCGACAGACAAACGATACGTGCTGGAGAGGGGACAATGCATCATCAGGAAGTTTCAGGTGTCTGCAGTCCCCGCAATTTATGGTGGATGACTTTGGAAAACACAGCTCTGCTGCTGGCAGTGGATTTTACACTGTTGTGTCACCCCAGCAGCATGCATTGATGGCTCCGTGTTCTGGGCTTGGGTTTGAAACAGACAGAAGCTGCCCTGATCCCAAGCAATCCCCTAAATGCACACTATGTGCTTTGCTCTGCACTTGCTAAAGCTGCAGGCTGCCCAGCAAGCTGTGTGATCCACTGAGTACCCAACGTGGGCAGGGTTTGTCCCTCCACTCCCACTGGTTCTCATACACTTAAGCTCACTGCCAACCTCCACCAGCCCGAACCCCAGGGCTCTACTCAAGTTGACCCCCAGAGCCCAGCCTCTTGCTCACTGCTGTCAGTGGCTGCTAAGGACTTCACAAGACTTTGCTAAACAACTTTACAAGACAAGTGAATTCTCCATTCCACTGGTTTCCCATTCCTCTTCCACTCCACCCATGTTCATTCAGGTGAGCACAGACTCAGATGAGCCCCAGCAGCCTGTGCTAAGTGGAAGAACAAACTCAGACCCAACAGGTCCCTTCTAGCTTTGTACATCAGAACTAAGGCTGGGGGCCTTTGAAACTCTTCTGCTTTTACCCATCACAGCTCCTTTTCTGCTTATTCCTGCTGGTACCATGCTCTCAAGCATTTGTCAACAAGATGCTAATCTGTAATTCAATTAAATCACTTTGATTTTCTTTCTGAATGGACAGGGCGGTAAAAGTCCGTGAGGTATCTGAGACTGGACTAAAACGTAAAGTAGCTTAATCAAATCTTTTCTTTTAATTAGAATAATTGTTTTTCCTGCACTTGCTGAATTTATAAGGATTTTCAGCCTATGGGGGAGTAAATCAAATTTAGAGGTATGTAATTCGCATTGTGTTTTTATTGGACTTTGAGTCATAACTTATTTGTAATCTTAATTAGAAACGCAGCTCCTCTAAACAAGCTAAATGTGGCATGTTTAACACACTGCAGGGCTAGCTGCAAACTGTGGTGCTCAGCAAGCAGAGCTGTGATTCATGGCAACCCAAATAGAAGCCATCATCCCCATCGTGTAATCCTGATGCACTGAGACCCCTCTGAAACAGTCAGCCCTAATAGTGCCAACGAATGAAAGAAAAAGGGCTGGAGTGAACACTCTAAGCACTAGATCTTATAGGAGAGAGTATTTAGCAACCTAGCCTACAGGGAGGTATCCCTGTAAATAGCAGAGGGTTGGAACTAGGTGGTCTAAAAGGCTCCTTCCAACCCAAACCATTCTATGATTCTATGATTTAGCAATTTATTGGGTCGTCTACAAAATTAACAACATACTAAAGAAGTTCTGCTTTTTGTTTTGGGCTCCCATTCCTTATGGGAGGGCACAAAAACCTCAAATTTCCTTTTCAACATGATAAAGAAAACCAGTTTGGAAATTTAAATTTTCTCTGGTAATTCATTATGGGTGCTTAGTTTTCTTCCCAGCTCTTACCATATCCCAGAGAACATAACACAGTGTGTAGCAAGAGTCAAGAATATTGAATCTACTCCCTGTTGAACTCAGTGCAGCTTTTGGACAATTGCAACAATCACAGAATGGCCCAGGTTAGAAGGGACCTCAAGGATCATGAAACTCCAATACAAACAAAGCTAATCCTTTGGCCAGCATTTACAGCTACTTTCCTTTTGGTCAAAACTGGAATCAATCACATCCATTATGTATCTATATTAACAGGATCTGGAACAGGCAGCAAGATCAACCTATTCTAGAATAATCATTTTTAGAATGAATAAACCTTTTTTTTCTTGTTAACAAGAAGAGTCATCAGGCACATTTCCATCCTCACTTACTTTAGGAGGGAGTTTTTCAGCCAGAGGGTGGTGAGGCATTGGCACAGGTTGCCCAAGGAGGCTGTGGATGCCCCATCCCTGCAGGCATTCAAGGCCAGGCTGGATGTGGCTCTGGGCAGCCTGGGCTGCTGGTTGGTGACCTGCACACAGCAGGGGGTTGGAGCTGGATGAGCACTGTGCTCCTTTGCAACCCAGGCAACCCTAGGAGTCTATGATTCTCAACTAACAGACACACCACAGGTCAGAGAGAGGAACTCATAGCGATGCACAATGACGAACATAACACCACCAGCTCTGCTATGTGAGCACTGCTGCTCTGAGCACCCTAGGGAAAAACCTTTGGGCTCAGGTGAGGGAGGAGGAAGCTGATTGCAGGCCATCAATAGCACTGTGCCAGTGGGACTGCTGGATGCTGCCAACATGAAGTCTCTCGCTGCCCGTGACCTTATAGCGATGGGGAAAAAATTAAATAAGAATGTGTTGTGATGTTTCAAGCTGAACACACAGCATAGCAGAGAAGTCTATTTTAGGATACAAATAAGATAAAGAATTTAAGGAAAAGGATCAGAAGAAGCAAATAGCTGTCAAAATAACATGTGCCACATTTCTGTACTACAGAAGCACAATGGCTGAAGATCACAGTGAATACATCCACAAAGGGCTGTTGCAGAAGTGTTGCTAAGCAGCATCACAGTCTGTATCCCTCAAGTGGCATTTGGAATCAGGATCATCTCTACAAATTGCAGGAGAGCTTCCTCCCTTCCCACCTTGCCAGCTCATTTTCATTCAGGGTGCTGGAGGCTGCAAACTTACAGCTTCCTCCTAAGCTGAGCCTTTGAGCAAAGCGTTCCCCAGACTTGTCAGTGTGCTAAAGCACATCTGAAGTATCAGCAGAGGTTACACATCATCCAGCACAATGCTCACATCTGATGTGAGCTGATGGCCTATTCATGGACAGCACATCCTCTGGTCAGATTATCCCAGCAGGTACTCATTAAAGAGAGAATGTGGGAAACAGCAAGTAGGAAAAAAAAAAAAGACATAGTTGTGCTACTGTATTCCATACAAGTTATTTTAATTTGGAACTGAATTTGCATGAGAAGGGTGTGAATACCTGAGAGACTGTAATGGTGCTTATAGGAGTTTGGCAGAAGAGCTTCCAGGCAGAGCTGGAAATTAATGCTTTAATAGACTTAGAAGCAACACACAAAATACGCACATCTGACCTGTGGTATCTGTGCACAGACACACATAGACAGGAGAGTGTTTTTTTCATCTGGTAGAAAAATCTTTGAATGTTCTGCTGCAGTGAAGCAGGTGACAAAGGAAAGGAACAATAGCATTCCAAACTGCAAGAAGATCAGACTGAGAAGATTGACCAGGAGTCTGCAGCTAATGGAGCTGTAGTTACCCTACAAACCAAGCCCTGGAAAAGCATTCCCACAGCTCTAACCACTGCTTTAGGCCCACGCAGAGCCACCCCAGCATCAGAGCACACTGAAGTCATTATCACAGAATGGTTTGAGTTGGAAGGGACCTCTAAAGACCATTAGGACCAAAGCCCCACACTTTGAGACACCCACAGCTCCATCAGTGCTCAGAGCCCATCCTCTGACCTTGGGTGTCTGTAGGGATGGATAGCACCACCCCTCTGGGAGACCGTGCAGTGTCTCACTGCCCTTAATGTAAAATATATGTATATCCTTCAGCCTAAACCTCCCCTCTTTAAGTTTGAAATCATTTCTCCTTGTTCTACCACAACAGCCCCAGCTGAAGAGCCTTTCTTATAGCACTCCTTTAGATACTACACAACAGCATATTTATAGACATTCTAACTTGCATTTTTTGGTCTTCACAGGATTGCATAGAAATGGTTTATAAAATTTAATTCAATTCATTAAGTACTACAGCTTCACTACTGCAGGTTCTCTCGCACCTGCAATGGAGCATCACTGGGCTCA